CAGTCTTGACATCAAATTAACATCCATTTTTGTTAAAATTTTTATTCTAACAAGTTTTTCTCCAGGTGAAATGTCATCAGTGCTGATTCATCATTGTACTGGTAGTCACTTTTAAACGTATTTTATTAACCGGTTACCTCGTAGGAATATGTTAGCCATACCGTTACACTTTTATCGATTTTTTTTAATGGTAAGGAAGTTAGAATTTAACAGTGCCGCCAAGTAATGGTTTTGTTTGTATACGGTCACAATAATACATTTTCTTTTGAATTCAAGTTTTTTATACTAATGGAATAAATATTACTAAATATTTCCCCGCTGGTCGTGTTTAGCGTTGTTTATCAATATGTGGAAATCATCTACCCCTGATCGTTACCATAGAAACGGGGCAGTGACCGGCTGTTACACGTCATTGTACTTATTTAGGGAACAATTTGGTTGCAAGGGGGAGTTAGAAGTCGACTGTCATTTGCTCTGACTGGGTGCTATTTTCTGTCAACAGTTCTCTGCAGACTGTGTTGTATTTGTTTAATATTCTGTACAGGTTAATGACACTGGTACAATACGCAAAATAGGTCCACCAAGATTTTCGCCTTTACTCCGAGCCGTGTAGTTTTAAATTATGATTAAAATGCATGTGCAATAGGAAATAAATAGTTCACGTGGCAAATCAATACTAGCTAGAATTTGCATCTATTTGTGCTCGTTTTCTCGACAACTTTTTTGACAACTTAATTCTTTAAGCATTTCTAGCTCAGCAAGAATTCTTGCAACCAGATTTATAATAAAACAGTAAGTCCACCTTATCTACAATATATACATCCATGATGATTGCACAACTTGTAGCCGAACATACGGTATCAAGATAACTGGGTTAAGGCATCACTTTAATTTTAATAAGAACACTGCATGTAGTAGCTTTAACATAACGCCGTTACAACGATAACTGACCAAGAATTAAGTGCACAGGTAGTAAACGTTTAACACTGAAAGTAGAAGGGACCTCAGGTCTGTTGCAAATATTTTATTGCTCTCATGTAAAATCTACAATGCAATGAAGCTGTTCTGGCAAAAGCACTGTATCCAAATTATTACAGTAACATAGTCCGTAGCATTCTTCTTTGTGAAGCATTCTTGTAGCATAACTACAAGTTATGTTGACTCTCAATCATAAAAGATACGATGTGGGAGCTGCCTTAGGTAGTATCTTAGGCGCAAAGCGAGTAAGAGCATAAAGAGTAATTTTTGATGCCCTCAGTGGGGCACTTAATGATTTAAATTTCAGTCATGCAATTCGAGTCAGGCTTTGTTCGCAGTAACGAGCCACTGAGTGCGTCATTAAACCAGCAAAAGATCTCTGTCTGTCTTCGAATTGGATAACAAGGGATTTCACACCGTCAACTTAGTGAACACCACTGCCGTCTGAAATGAAAAGTAAGATTTCATTAGAATCCTGTTAATAGTGTTCATAGCAGAACAGACTTAAGTGACGTTCAGCATTTGCTCTATGGTGCCAAAACCTATGAAACCAACCAAATTATCAAGGCAGACGAATAAAGACCAGAAAAAGCAGTACCAGTAAGCCCTTGACATCAACCGCCATTCCCTGCCCAAACTGCAGCAAATCCTTTCTAGCAAAGATTGGCCTTAGCAGCCATCTGCGCACACACACAGAACACAATTCACTAACTCATAGGATGATTAGATGGTCCTCGTTCATTTCGACGGACGAACCATACATTTATAAAGTGATGAAAAACTGAAATTACGACATCAGTGTCGTGTCATGTGCAACAACTCCTTTTCTCTTTATTGAAAACAATGTCAGTCATTAAAATATTGGTGAAAGTAAAACACATACCTGGAACGCAGACATTAACGTTGTTGTAGTCAGTCAGGTATCTATTGTACACCTGGCCGTAAGGACAAGGTCTGGAGAAGGCGTTACCAGCTTCATCACACTGGATGTAGCAGCGTGGGTCGCTGTGCTCGTAGTAGAAACGGTTGGGAGCGTAGACCTTAGTGTGCTTGCCGTAGTGGTCCACGCGGTACACGCTGTTCAGGGGTGGACACTGGACTGTGTACATGAAAGAAAAGAGAAGAAAATATAAATAACCTAATTTCTCCTGTTATCAGTGTGTAATCACATATACCGGTATTTGTGATTACTACGCCGGTCAGAGTTTACGTAGGTGCACTGCCAGAATAAAGCAGATCTGAACTAGAAAAGCACACGCAGAACTCCGACAAGACAAATAATTGACCACTTATTGACAATGATTTAAGAATGTGAGTTATATAGTTGACTATGCTTGACGATCAATGTCTCATTTTCTTATCACACCTGTTTGAAAATAGGCATGCTTTAATGAAACTGTTGAAAACCATTCTCTCTCATGTTGAGAGAGAGAGAGAGAGTTGATCATCATGTTATATACTCACAGTATTCATGGCTGCACTGGTAAGCAGGTGGATGGTACACCGGCGGTGGGTAGGTAGACGGTGGATAGGTTGGCGATGGGTAGGTAGACGGTGGGTAGGTAGATGGCGGGTAGGTTGACGGCGGGTAGGTAGATGGCGGGTAGGTTGACGGCGGGTAGGTTGGCGGTGGGTAGGTTGGCTGCTGGTAGCCCTGCGGTTGGTAGCTTTGTTGTTGTCCGTATCCCTGGCGTGGGTAGGGAGCTGATCGAACAACAGCCACACCGATGGCGACAACAAGAACTTCCAAGATCTTCATTTTCTTTAGACGCCTGTGCTGCAAATGTGATTGAAGTTCCCTTACGTGGATGAACCGGACTGTGACTGGTAAAGTGCGCTGTAAAATGTGGCTTGCTCCTTAAATACCTGTCCATCTAAACGCTGATGTGAATGAAGGGATGGGATTTACAGCCGGAGGCTCCTTTAAATTAATTTTGTAATCTAATGAAGAGGGATAATTACGGTTTGTGCGCCTTGGGTGCTGTATTTGGAACCTTTGCCATCTTATTGAAATTCGTGTCAACAACGGAAGTTTTACCTTCCTCCAGAACGAAATTTATACAGATGTTTCCCCGTTTTCATAGTCAGGGTGACAGAGGGAGATGGGTGAGGAGTTATTCTAAAATTGCATATACGGATTGAATATTCAGCGTTCTTCATATTTTCTGCTTTTTACTAATTGCCAGCTAGTCGTGTCCGAAGACTTGCATTCTTTACGAGTTACTGTCCTACAGCAGTCAACGGGAGCAAAATAAAATCATTACCCGCAGAAAACAAAGCACGTTTACACTTTCACCTTATAGATGGGATGGGTGTACAATATGATTAAGACATTGGCCAGCGTCTCGGCGCAAGAAACGTTCTGTTGCCAAGTCCGCTCTTCCAAATAAATTCATGCATAGGATGGGATTTTTAATGGCAGTATTCTATCAAAAGCTCATTAAATCGCCACTCCGACCAATGTCACGCCATACCGTCAACATCTGAATACTGTGGAGAGCATTTAATGCTTTTAGCCTTTGCCTCCATTTCTTTCGAATAAACGTTGTTAAAAAAATCTGAATACTGCAACAGGCTCTATACAAGACATCAAAGACGACGATTGCCAGCTGTAAAAAAGCAATTAAAACATTAAGTCATATGAATGATGATGAAGGCTGTAGGCTGTGAGTTCATCAGGTTATGGAAGTGAAAATGAATGGCCACGTTTCTCTTGATGCAGAATGTTGAGGCTCCTCTCAGTTTGACTAGTTGTTTGAACTTTATTTGCATCGAGTGCCTGGAAGTCTTGGAAATCTGCTGGATTTCAGAGCCAAAATGGTGAGCAACGGTTTTGTTAAGGTTATTTATGCGTTTTAGTAATCACCACGTATGGGTAGTACGTTTTATGATGATTGCCCTGTGTAAATTTTGACTGACGATAAAAGCTGTGAATTGATATGGAATCGTCTTAGATTTGTCACGTTTTTCGTGATGCAGATTTGATGATCTTGTCATTCGAGCTCGTCGCCACGTGCGTGTGGAAGTGTCTCAAACAGCTGGATGGTAGGCCTACTAAGGTCGAAATGGTAAGTATAAGTGCTGTTTCAAATGTGGCATTAAATTTATTTGTTTAACGCGTAAAATTTACGTTTTTTATTATGACTTTCTGACAAAATTAAATTTATTTTCAATTAAATGAAGACATATATAACATAAAAATGTATGTAATTATAAATAATACGACGGAATCTGATCTCATGGTTTCAGTTATGAAATTTCCTCGTGTTATCTTTCAAATTATTCTTGTTGTCTTGCATTATCCGTTAATTGTCTTCGTCAGTGTGGTTTGACTCAAAGAACAAATGGCGCAGAATATTCTGAGTTCAAAAAAGGTTTGGTAATATAGTTACAACCGTGTCTTCATGATAAATGTGTCAGTGTTAAAATATTTTAAATCGTTAAATTAGTTTCATATATAGGATAAGATTTTCAAAGGCCCATTTCATTACTCTCCCAAGTAAATGGATCTGTTAATTAATAGACGAAATATTGTTAAAGTGACGACAACTATTTTAAAGTTCATACGATTTTTCACCGGGTTCCCTATTCTTACTCGCTACCATCTGTACCTATTTTCTTTCTATTCAATATGAGGGACTTTTTATTGCTCTCGATAAAATAAAATCTACTTTACAATGAAGTTGTCATGGGAAAAGCATGATATCCATACATTCTGAACAACTGTATCACTTCCATTTGCAAGATTTGGCTTTAGTGGTTCTACAGGCTTTATTACGACAACTCATTTGTTTATTGTTCTCGTCTGGTGAATGAATTGTTGCAGAAACGCAATGTCCTGAAAATAAAAAACATCGTTAAAACCTGCCGTTAACCCTTCTGAGCGCCTGTGACATGAATTGGAGTGTGCAGTGCAGATGAGAACCAACCCCCTAATAATCTGGTCCAAGCTTTTAAGAAATTTTGGGACAATATCACACGAAACATCTGTTACCGGGTACCTTTGTTGAAGTTATGCCGTGCCACCTACAGAGGTAATTGCTGTGCGCGGCAGATACTATATTAAATGTCCAAAGTGCCAAAACTGAGAGCAGTGAGAGCCCCTGAGCGTTGGCAACGTTTAAGGTAATGCCCTTATGATATTTCTGTCTAATACATTTTTCTTTTTTTTTTATATGCATACATGTAGGTTACAATATTGCATACATATTAAGCTGTAAAAATGATAGGCACCCATGTTATTTTTGTTGCTATGGTGATTTGAACTTTGTATTCAATTAATATAGAATCCTATGGGAAATTTAATTGTTTTTTTTTTTTTTTTCATATATTTTCAATCTTAACAGATGAAATGCGTTCATAGTCCATATATCCTACACATAGTGTTCAGTAGATATGACAGACATAGATTTAAAAAAAATGATAGGTACCCATGCAAATTTTGCTGCTATGGTGATTTATTTTAGCATAAAACTTTTTTTCATTTTCATGGTACACTCTGGAAATTCACTTTGCAAACATAGCATTTCAACCACTTACCTAACCACACTATCTATATTTCTCTTTTGTTTAAATATAAATGGAGAGTATTTTTTATTAAAAAGCATTTGTGAATCAATTTTAGCCAGCCTGTTAACGTCAACTTGCGTGCATTGCTACATCGCCAGGAGCAGATCAACAAAAATACGCTTATGCGCAACGTAGTTGCGCATTGTAGCATAAGCATAACCTTAAGTAATTTTATTAAATGCACCCAACAATTTAAATTCTAGTCCAGTTCTTGAAGGTGGCTTTTTGAAAATGTTTAATATACAATAAGTCTTTATTATAAAGCTACCATCCATTTCTGGTTGCAAATAAATATTAAATGAGGAAGTGGAAGTACTGTCTGGATTTTATTTGGTGGAAGGATGCAAGGGGGCAAAATGTTTCAGAAAGACTTTCGGGCAGAGGGGAGGCGACGGTATGATCATGTAATCAAACCAGATAATTCTCAACAAAACTTAAAATATTTTTGTTGGAAAGAATAAAGCAACATGATGAGTTGAAGCCACCTGACAATATAAATTATTCAAAAGTGTTTCTACAGAACTAAAGTGATAAGTTGACAAATTAAAGAAATCCGTGGAAGAGAACAATGTGACAAATTTTCGCAATTTGTGGCAAATTAGAATGTGTTCAGGAATGCGAAGACAAATTTAATGAAAAACGTTTAAGTGGTGCGAATTCACTGAGTGAGGAAATTTCGGAGGCCCTAGTTTGCAAACAAATGAAGAAAAAAAAAGCCAGCCTCGCTAATGTAGAGTCAACAACCAAAAAAGGAGACAGAAAGACAATAAAGCAAAAACCAAGAAACACAAAGTCTATGCAGCACGAGGAAATAACTTGTACAAGAGTACTCTCCTGAATAGTTTCAAGGTCTTTTTAATATGGGGATGTCATATAAGACTCTGAACTACTAAAAAATAAGTAGCAATTTCATAATTAAGTAAACAAGACATCAAGTGTTTTACGTTATTATTTTCACATAACTTTATCACGAAGGATGCATTGCTAAATGTGTTCACTGAAACTTACACGTAGAGCTGCTAAAAGATTACGATGATGCAGAAAGTGACACGGTAGATGTGAGAAATATGGAAGATGACTAGTTTATTTATTTACATTTAGAATAAAACTTTCTGTGTCAGGCTTTCTAAATGATATGCTATTATAACTGTTCTTTAACTTCTACAAGAATCAATTGCTGTTTGTTCTTTAAAACGCTTGTAAAAGAGAAAAAACAGATGTTGTTCTCAATCCTCTTTTAGGCTGTATTAATTAACATACATTATAGTTGTTCTCTAAAATTGCGCCTAATTGGTGCCTAAAATAAAACTTGATAAAATGAGGTCCACCCCAAATGCATTCTGGCTCAATATGTTGGTGTATTTTACATAACAAGTTATTTGTTCATCAATTGTTTCCTTTAGTTTTATGTTCATAAGACAGTCTAAGCTTCTTTTAAAATCAGCCCAAAAGCTGCAAAGTACTTGGTAATATGGTTCATTGTTTCAAGATATGTCAATCTTAAACCTGTTCGATCGTTTGACTTTTTTTTTTTTTTTTTGTTTTTATTACCATTTTTACAGAGGATGCCATTTAACCA